AGTATTTTTTATTTCTGTTTTGGTATTTTTACTAATGACTAATTTGCCCAATTTTTAGTCACAAATTAGTCAGTACTAATCATAATCATTCATTCAAAAAAAAAATTTTTTTAGTATTTTCTAAAAAATTTTTAAATTGCCAAAAACAAAAATACTAAAAAAATTTTTTTTTGAATGAATGATTATGATTAGTATTAATTTGTAGATCTACTAATACAGCGGATAAAATGAATAATTTTTATTAATGACTACAAACGTTAATAAAAATACTGAATTTTATATAGAGTACTAACTTATACTAAAAAATTAGTACATTAGTACTAAATAAGAAATCAGTATTTTGAGTGTCGCTTAGTATTTTGACTAAAAAAACCCTTAGTATTTTGAATGAAAAAATCATTCATTCATTTAGTCACGAAATTGTACATCAATGCTTTATGATGGCTATGAATTTTTTGTATGGGAGTAGGGGGTAAATAGAGAAATACATAAAGCCGAGGGGGTCAATGATGGAGGAAAGGTTGAGAATGGCTGGACTAGACTGTTCGGATAATAACAAACATCTATTTATTAATGGCAGTTACTACACAATTCCGTCTTTTTTTTTTTTTTTTTTTTGTAGCTGGAGAAAACACTAGTCTCCATCTAAGGATTCCTTACTTTCGTGCCTTTTACTATAAAGTCAGTTTCACAATAGTAACGCTTTCTGCTTTTGTTCTTTCTTCAGGTTTTTTTTCTTTTATTTTTTTATTTTTAACTCCGTTCTTCCAACTCGGGCGTAAAGTAGCTCCATATTTCTAATGGCCAGGATACAAAACAGACCTTACTGACTGATATGGGAAGCTCTGTCCCAGTGACTGCGAATGTGGATCATTCTAGTCATAAAGTCTTCGGACACTGGAATTGTCACATAATCCGTTTCTTAAAACAAAAAAAAAAGAGATTCTCTTAAGAAAAATCAGATTCCCTGAGCAGGAGACACTAAATGAACCTATAAAGATATTTCTTTATTTTTCGAACTAGGGTTGAGCGTTCAGGCAAATAGGTAAATATTCGGATATTTTTTTTTACTCGATCATTCAAAGATTCTTTCGTATACGTACCCTTTTGAATTAGGAATACGAGTTTCGATTCTCACCAATTCCAATCACAAGGCCTAATCATGCATTTTTATACGTCCTAATTAACTGTTTCCTTTCGTTTCTTTTTCCGTTATAGCTTTCTCAATTTTTTGTATTTACATACTCCTTTTTCTTTATTTAGTATAACTACGGTGGATTAGTGAACAGCGGCTCGTGTTCGAATTCCAGTCGAATCCATTGCATTCATTTAGGAATTATACCTTTGGGAAAGGTATGAATCGTCTTCTTCTCAAAGCTATGGGTAAATAGACCAGATTCTATAGCCTTGGATGGCAACTGATTTACCGCAGAAAGAAATGGCAACCTACTGCGGGAAAAAAAAACTGCCTCGTTAGTCATGTATCGAAAGATACATGATCGCCTAAGCGTGTATGGCACTGACTTCGTTTTATTCATGCTTTATGGTAAGGTGATCACCCTGTCACAGAAAAAATCGCTGTAACCTTTATAAGTACCTAGAAACGAATTAATTCTACTACAGCCATTTCACTTAGTAGAACAAATAAGTCACTAGATCTGTAGATTGGTATTAATTATGCTGGAGTATCGTTGTCATATTGGGACGGGGGCTACCCAGACCTCACTCTCCAGCCTCAATAGAGTCCAAAAGCGTCTCCGAATCCTTGTGGGTGACGAATTATTTTCCACCCTCTAACCTCTCCCCCAGACAGAATGTGTCAAGCCTCTCACTGCTCCATCGCTAATTCTATGGAAAGTGCTCGGATGAACTATATTCCTTGGTTCTGCTAGTTCTAACTTTCATGGTAAGGACCTATCATGCCACGCACATTGTATATAAAAAAGAAACAAAAAAAAAAACACCCATATTCCCTCTGTACTCCATCGGTGAGAAGTTCCACTCGAACAGGTTCTTCCCGTGAACCACTGCTCTGTTGAACTGACTCCCGAGAGGTTGTTTCCCCAACCACGGCAATCTTAACCTGTTCAACTCTAGGTTCAGCCATTATCTTCCCCTCCTATCTGTACAAACTACATCTTAACTTAACCCTCTACCTCGAGTGGCCCCCAGACCTTGTGTAGGGTGAACATTACTGTAAAAAAAAAAGTAAACTCATTTTTAGCTGTATTTAGTGTAATTTTTACTAAGGCCGCCGATCTATAGCTATGAGTAGACAGAACAATAGATCAAAAATATGACAGTTTTCGGTGAGATTTGAACTCGCGTCTCTCCGGCTTCGGGGAATTTGGAAGATTAGGCCGACTTTAGCAGGAAAGATTAAACTTGTGACAATCTATATCTATAATTTTCAAAATGTGTATGTATGTGCGTGTGTGTGATCGAATGTTGTTTATGCGTTTCCAGTTTTCATCGGATTTCGTCGAAATTTTTTTTTGTTTGATAGATAATTCTTCAGTGCCGGTTTTGAGTCCATATTGTCTTGAAAAATTACAACACTTGAAGGTGAAAAATCAGAAAAACTGATTTTTTACACTTTAAGGCAAAATTTAATGTCTGTAAAAAAACCCAGCGTACAATCAATTTAGAAAGTTGAAATCTTACGCAAAAGATTATTAGAATTTATATATATATATATATATATATATATATATATATATAAATAAAATATATATCGTAAATAAAAAATTATGATTATGATGGTCCATGGAAGCGGTTCCTTCCTTGCAAGATTGAGAACGCAAAAACGGACCTCTTAAGGGCCATGCTCCCCACCCCTACCTCATTCAAATTGCTAACCCGCCCATTTGGGGATGTGCTTCAGTTGCATCCAAATGTTGTACTAATATTGATTTTCGTGTGGGCTAACTTTACACTTAAAGTGCTCTAATTGAACGGCAAAAGACCCGGGCAAAACCGGATTATACTGCTAGTCGATCAATAAGCTCAGATTAACTACTGTGCTACACTGTAAACTCCGTTGATATAAATTGTCGTCCTGTATTTGAATTTCATGTGTAACTGATCAGTTTTCTAAAATCAGTTGGCCACACAGCAAAAAACAAATTAACTTCGAAAGAGAATCAGAAAAACGAAATATTGAAATTTGACCCGGACACGTTACTCGTATTAAAAGTGTAACAACTCTAAGCAGTTTTTCATAGAAAATTAAAATGTGGCAAATCTCAAAGGGAGTTAAAGATTAACTGAAAAACGTAGATACGTATAACAAGGCTGACCTAGCATGACCTTCTTCAGATAATATATACGGCTATGGTTTCGTTAAAAATTTTCAAAAAGTTTTCTCAATTTTTAACAAGTAAAAAGATATACACTAAATTTTGTGAACAACTCTACTGCAGTCATTAGATTTAGAATTAGTAAGTCATTACTTAGATTAGTATCAATTTTGACTAGTATTTACATTTAGTTTCAGTTCGGGATGCCTTTTGCGCAACTTCCAATACGAATGTAAGGCAACGCCCAGGCTTAAGTAAGCTTGGATGGTCACTTAATTGGCTTGACTGATAGGGACGTGGATTTGTATGTTGAGTCCTTCTACTACAATGTTAGCTATCTAATTCAGCCTTTTATATGATGTAACCACAGTACTTAGCTGTTACAAGTATTTCCAAGACTATAAACCTTTCTGGAGCCGAGCCACAAACTTAAACATGCTCTGTTTACTAGAAGCGGCGGGAGCCTTTCTGCTCTTGACTAGTATATCATTGCCATACAAAAAAAAAATCGGACGAGTGATTAATGTAAACAATAATTGGCGCCAGTATGGTGAATGTGTTGTTGTATGGGAATGACATTTCTTTTCCTTAGAAATTTCTTTCCAATATAAGAGTGCGTCTTCCAAGCCGGAAAATACGGTACTTTAACCAAATAAGCAATGTGAACTTTGTCGAAGAAAAAAATTTAATCTATAAACCCACACATAATTCCACTGTCTTTATCAGTACCATATTTGATTGTTTTATTTTTACATTAGTAGTATTAGAAACAGATGTATTAGATTTTTTATATTTTATTACATGAAGTATTGGCAACCATTTTTATTAATTTTTGACTAGTATTTACTTTCAACTTCATTTTTTATTAGATGAAGCATTGTCGACCATCTTTCTTAACGTTTTACTAGTATTTGTTTTCATCTTAATTTTTTATTACTTGAATCATTGTCGACTATTATTATTAATTTTTGACTAGTATTTACTTTCATTTCCATTAGATGAACGATTATCAATCATTATTATTAAATCTGTTAATGTTTCTGTCTGCAAAATACATTTTAAAATATAAATGAAGAAAATTACAACCTCAACATGCTATTAGAATTGTACTTATCCCCCACTTTGTTGGTTCACGCAGCCGTTACACTTTGCCAATACCTCATAAATAATGGCTTATTCCATTTTGATCATGCGGAAAGTGGGGAAAAGACACTACTTGGTTTCACTGAGAAAAAGAAAGAAGAGAGGGAAGAAAGTAGTGTTCAACGGTTGTTTTGGTGACATGGAAAAAGCTGTCAATTTCAAATCTATTCACTTGTACCCACTTCTTAAAATAACGACCATCTTTCATACTTATGATTGTCATTGCAATATTTTGTTAAAGTTGTTAAGCTCAAATATTTAACGATGTCATAGAGGAATAGACTTTATTGTCGTAGAACTCGCCGTGAGCTTACTTAATCATAAACTTAAGAATTAAGATTCATCAGAAAAGTCAAGAAAACCGTGAAAATTTCACGGGTTAAAACTATTTTTTTTCATTCATCACATCATGGATTCCTGTAAACTAACCAGAGCCACACTTACTTGCACATCAAATGAGATAACAACACAATGATAAGTAATTAGATACTTTATTCCGTCTCCTTTTTTTTCTAGTCGGTCACGGACTTGCTGGAACGGTTCATCTGACATAATCTCATGATTTCTTTCTTGAAAAAAATTCTTCCCATCTTACGTAAAGTGGAATTCGTATATATGATCCATAACTAAACATGAAGGAAAAATGGTTGGTTCTCAATGCCACTCCAGTAGGCATCTGATTCCTCCTGATATGTTCTTCCTTTAAAAAAAAACAGTTCAGGACAATAATGGAATACTCGTCCGATGTCTTGGGTGGAGCTCCCCGATACGTCACTTTCCAGGCTTGATAGAGTATAAAAGCTTCAACGCGGCTTTGTGGCTGATGAATTATTTTCCACCTTTCAACCCCTTTCCCACAAACGAAATGTTGCAAAGCCTGTCACTATTCTACTGCTATTTCCATGGAGAATGTTCAACTGAGCTACATTCTTTAGTTCAAACAATTTTAACCCTCACAACTAAAACTTGTAATGGTTCTCCACAGTTTCCTATCTTTTGTCCTCAACAGTACTTGCTCTATTATGACGTCTCTTTCTAGTCATTAGTCTTCTATTTGCTCAAATCTTTCAAGTAGCGCCCCTCCCTCTCGCTCTCCCTCCCTCCGCTCTCGCTCCTCCCTCCTCCCTCGCTCTCCCTCCCTCCCTCCTCCCTCCCTCCTCTCTCTCCCTCCCTCCCTCTCTCTCCTCCCTCCCTCTCTCTCCCTCCCCTCTCGCTCTCCCTCCCTCCCTCTCGCTCTCCCTCCCTGGGATCCCCTTTTTCTTCATGACTCTTCCTCCCCTCTCTCTGGTTCTCCAGTTTCCCATTTTTCTCCCTCAACAATCGCTTTCTCGCTTTCTGGGATATTCTCTTTCTGGTTCTTGGTCCAGTTTCCCATTTTTTTCCTCAAAATTTTCAAGTTATGAGGTCTCTTTCTCTCTCTCTCTTTCAAAGGTCTCTCTGGGTCATGTTTCTTCAGGATCATGGTTCTCCACAGTTTCCTATTTTTTCTCAACAATATTTGTTCCTTTATAACTTCTCTTTCTATTTGTAGTTCTTGGTCATCTATTTGCTCAAACTTAGGTCCTCTCTCTCTCTCTCTCTCTCTCTCTCTGGGTCATGTTTCATCAAGAGGTGAGCCATCATGGTTCTCCACAACTTCCTTTCTTTTGTTGCTTTCACTAATACTTGCTCCTTTACGAATCTTTCTTCTGTCGATGTATTCAACCCTGTCAAGTGGGCTACTATGTGTTTTATTCTGTTTCTGTCATTTTTAGTGTACTCTGTGTGTGCTCAATTCTTTATGTACTTTTCCCCTCATTAGCTATCACAGAAATACGAGTTGTCTTCTTCTAAATGTTAGTAGCAGTTCCTTTGTGAATGCTTTTCTCCGATCTTCCTCGTTTCTCACATGCTCTGTACATGTTATTCCCTAAAGTCATCACCAGAACCGCGCCTCTTTCACTTTGTCTTTGATACGGGTGACAGAACTAATTTCAACTCGGGACCTCAAAAGGGTAATTTGCAATTCAATCCGCGCGCTCAATTTCTAATAAAAATTTCCCGAATAGTTCCATTTAGGTGTAAATGTACATGTTTAATTCGAAAATGACAAAGAAATTTTGATAAAATGTACCATTTTGGAGTTATCGACAGTAAAAGTTCGGTGGGTGAAGTTGAAATTAATTATGCACTCCTTTCATACGTTTGTGTCGAAATTATCCATCGTTTACATCCATACTAAAGGATAGACATTGCATCGCAATCTAATCTTTATTTCTAATGACATTTCCCGCCATTTTATTACAATTTTGAGCACGCGTATTTAATATATGCGACTACTTATTTGGCGGCGATAGAATTATGTTATTCTTTCACATTTGTTTTCGTTCTTCTCAACCTCTCTTTCTAGGTACCATTCCCTCAAGGCACAATTCTATACACTAGATTAAGAGTCGGCGACCCCCGGCCCGCAGGCCACATCCGGCCCGCGAAAGATTTTTATCCGTCACGCCAACTTTAACACCTGGCCACAAATTAATTAATTTGTAGTGCAAGTGGCAGAAACGTATCAGTTGGCGTTAATCAACTTACAATGAGACGAATTTTTTTAAATCGAAATATAATTGCGAATCCATTGCTGGCTTCAACAAGAAATATGTTTTGCCAAGCGGAAAATGTAAAAGCCTATTGAATGGTATCATTTTTTGGAAGTGTATATGCTTGTGAAAAACTTTTTCGAAAATGAAATATACTAAAATCATTTTTTTTCTTTTTCGAAGAAGGTTGGGTGATGACCACCTGAATGATGTTTTGCTTCTGTTGTCGACAATATTTCACCAGATGTGGAGAAGTTATCGACTTATAAGCAGAAACAAGTGTCTCATTAAATAATTTGCCATTTTTAACTTTATTTCATTTGCACTATTTACATTATTCGGACTATTGTCCTCATCTTTGTCGCCGCATTTGTTACAACGTTTCGACCGTTGTACGCTCCGTTCTTCTTCAGGTGTCTGAACCCTTTATTTCGCTCACTGGGGTAGACTGTCCTATTTCCACGTGCCATGTTTAATGGATGTCAGTTATCTCCTGTTAATACCCCTCTCTAAGTTCTCCACTGCCTTAACCGAGTATTGAACTCACACTCTTTGGGTCCTGTCACTGGATCTAACTTACGCCTTTATCCACTGTACCATGTGTCTTTGAGGAAAACTGTGTATGAATTGACAGATGCTGTATTTCATTTGTGGTAAGGAATTTGCATTTTTTGTTGACTGTGTTTGTTGTTATCCTGTTATACCTGCATTAAAATAAGGCAACTTTTTTTAAATAATATAACATTAACTTCGTTTTCTTTTCTTTAAACATGCAGACCAAGGCAGTCTTCTGGACGTAGAAGTCAGGGGTCGAGACAAATTATTATAGTAAATTTGATATCATGCCTCCTGCTTCCAAGACACTGCATAGCTTTCTGGCTCTTTCACTCCGACCACTGCACTAGATCTTTTTTAATATGCCGAAATAGTTTCAAGGATTTTCAATTCTTAACACTGGGAATTTTAACCTGAAAGTTCCGAATGTTAAGAATTGTAGTCGTCTAATAAAGTGGGGTCTATGCGTTTCAACAAATAACGGTTTGATGTAAATGTAAAATATATTTATATATATATATATATATATATATATATATATATATATATATATATATATATATATATATATATATTTCATTTAAACCTCTGTATAACAGGATGCTGTTTTCTTACTTTCTTCATTTAATTCATTATTTGCTTTTTTTTCTTTTCTTTAATTTTTCTTTATTTCTTTCCTTTCTTTTTTTTATTTATTATTTCCTATCTTTCTTTAATATTTCTTTCTTTATTCATGATCTGTCTGTTCTAGTCTTTTCATATCTATCTATCTATCTATCTGCGTGTATGTTTTCTTTGTTTATCTATGTGTGTGGTGATGGAGTGCGTGTTTTAAACATATTTTGGTCCTGTGTTAAAAAAAAAAAAATACTTAAAAAAAATACTTGCTGCTGATTTTTTTTTTTTTTTTTTTTTTTTGAGGGGTGGGCTTTTTGTCATACATCTACTCCGGCGGGCTTCTCTCTCTCTCTCTCTCTCTCTCTCTCTTACTCTGATTACATACATAAAGAATTCACATCCTTTTCAATTCAAAGAATTTTATTACTGCACAAATACAAAATTCACACAAAAGACTTAGTATCCGTTCTATATCTTAACCGTCAAAAACCTATTGCAGTTCACACGCAAACACAGAGGCACCTTCGCAGACTCGAATACATAGTTGAATATACAAGCACACACGCATACACATACGCATATGGCATGTTGCGCATTAATGAAAATGGTACAAATATTTGCATCTACTTAAAAGATACGAGGACGCAATCAAGTATCATAAGTAGGAAAGAAACAGTTAAACTTTAGACAACTTTCAGAAAATCTAACATATTTTAACACTTTTAAGAAATTACTTTCACGTGCCATCTTTGATGACACAACAAAAATTTGGTCTTCACCGGGCGTCTGTTGCATCTCGGGAGCTTTGAAAATCACTTAATCTCCCTTTCCTATCTTTCCTCCTCGTGCCTTCCAAGCATACTTTAAAAGCAACAAAAATGAAAGATCAGAACCGAAAAGTATGTAGAACAATGAAAATGGTTGATCGCAGAGATTCAACAAAAAAAATGCTAGCATTTGGAATAAACAAACCATAACGCTTCTTAGTTTTATTTTTCAACTCAGCGACACCAGATGGCTCAATATTTTTTTTCTGACAATTTTTCGAATATAGAAATAAACGCTTTTTCCTCATTCGAACTCGACTTCTCTATCTCTCTCTCTCTCTCTCTCTCTCTATATATATATATATATATATATATATATATATATATATATATATATACACACACACACACAAGGCATGCAAAAGTAATATTCAGCAATGAAAACAATACGCGCACACGAAACAAGTCAGTCAGTTATGTGCGATGCGTGATACACGCTTAGGCGATCATGTATCTTTCGATACATGACGATTTTTTTCCCACTGTAGGTTGCCATTTCTTTCTACGATAGACCGGATGCCATCCAAGGCTAGAGAACCCTGTCTGTCCTCTATTTACCTATAGCAGTGGAGAGAAGAGGATTCATTCGTAAGTGAATGTAATAGATTCGACTCGGCTCTCCGATTCCTCAGTCCGAACCGCTATCCATTACTCCACTGTGCCTCCCTCTATTGATGACAAGCGTTCACCATTCTCTGTCTTACAAAATCCATTTACGCTTCTAGTCCGTCAATTTCCCAGCCATTATTAAATTAGCATTTTACCTGCAGGACATTTATTATTATTTATTGAAAAATAAATATTATAATAAATGTATTATAATAAAAATTACGAAAATAAAAATATTAAAAATGAATTTAATGAATTAAATGAATTCTAGTATTATTTGAATCCTAGAACCGGTATTCTGGTAATACCAGTATTACAATACCAGTATTACCAGCATACTAGTATTACAATACCAGTATTACAGTAGTGGTAATACAGTATTATATACTACCTCATCCAAGGCATGATTTTTCAGAGGAGGAACGGTGGGGTAATGGATAACAGCTCGGATTGTGGAATGGAGAGCCGAGTTCGAATTCCAGTCGAATCCATTACTTTTGGGAAAGGTATTATTCCTCTTCTTTTCCCCCACCAGCTATGGGTAAATAGCAAACCGGGTTCTATAGCCTTTGATGGCTGAATACTTGTATAATACACTTACTGCATACCTACTGCAGAACATGTATGCATTTATTTCAGAGGAGGCATAGTGGAGTAATGGATAGCGGCTCGGATTGAGGAATCAGAGAGCCGAGTTGGAATTCCAATGAAATCCATTACCTTCATTTACGAATTCTCTTCTTCTAAAGCTATCGGTAAATAACAGGACAGACCGAGTTCTATAGCCCTGGATGAGAAATAGCAACCTAAAAATCTGCCTCGTCATCGAAAGATACATAATCGCCTAAGCGTGTATCACGCATTACACATAACTGACTGAATACTAGTGTAATACTTACTGTATACCTACTTTTGTCGCACCCACTATATATCCTTTCTCTTGTTGACGCCCTGTGACCATACCGACCTGCAAGTAAAGAATGTCCATTCCCTAAATAAAAACTAAATATCTCAGATTTTAATATTTAAATTACTGACAAACACAGATCAAACATATACTTCGGACACTGTATGCATATCCGTTTAAAGCATTCAAAATTAATTAAAACTCTGACATCAAATAAATGCGTTTTGTTTTTATTCATTGTGAATGGCATGTGTCTTATATCTTGCCCAACTTAATATAACTTAAATATATTGCATATTCAGCTTTAAAGATGATAAAAACTGATTCCCCTTTCTCAGTTTCTCAGCAACCGGATAAATCAGTCCCCGCAGTGAGTTTCACTTCTTCAGGGCGTCGGTATCCACAGAGACTGGGAAAAACTCGCTATGCAATCACAAGAGACGGAAGATGAAATAAACGTTGCGGGAAAAAAATGAAAAAAAAAAATGAACCCTGTTTCCAATAATATAAAATAGTTGTTTTATTGAGGGCTTAGTATAACTCGGACTGAATGGCTAGATAGGAAACACTTAAGACAACCTCTGCTATTTCAGCCTTACAGCTCGGCTCTTCCATGCTATCAACCCCCCCCCTGCCCATCTACACATCGCGACGTGTGGCTGACAATACGAATAGTTGGTATCGGAACTAACCAAAATACAGTCTGTCCTCTGACAAAGATAGATCAGATCTCACTTCCTCGATCCAAAATATGACTTAATATATACAAGCGACCAGGAATTATCAATGCCCGGTTTTGTTATCACTTGACCTCAACTATTGTTTTATTTATTTGTTCTTTTGTTCTTCTTCGGTCAAGTGGATATCACATAGAATACCTGACTTCAAAAGAACCCATCCACTGGCCATATGACAGAAACACTTTAGGGTGAAGAGATCAAACTTACCTCAAAATTCACTTCCTTGATCCAAAATATGTCTTAATATATACAAGCGACCGGAAATTATCAATGTCCGGCTTTGTTATCACTAGACCTCAAATACTGTGTTTTATTTATTTGTTCTTTTGTTCTTCTTCGGTCAAGTGGATACCACATAGAATACCTGACTTCAAAGAACTCATCCACTGGCCATATGACAGAAACACTTTAGAGTGAAGGGATCAAACTTTCCTCATTGGGTGCCTCAACATTGTGTCCCAAAAATTAACAAAATATATTTTTATTATTAATTTCCAATTTGATATTTTCTGATCTTTCTGAATTGGCGATTGTTTTAATTCTTTTCATAATTAAAGTGTTTATTTATCCAAACGGAGCTAGTTACTTCCATGAAAGGCCTTAATATTATATTCTGACTAGTTCTAATCTTTAGTTACACCAATTCAAGCCTTTATTGCAAAAACCCACCATAATTCTTTTTGTATTCCATTTGAAAGAAAGAAGTTCCAACTCAAATAACTTCTTCCCAAGAATCACTGCTCCTGTATAGATGATTCCTGAACATTGTAATCTTAACTAATTCAAGTCCAGAGTAAAATGTTATCTATCCTCCGTAACCTCACGAATTTAATTTCCTGTTTTTTACCTCTATACCAAACAACTCATACTTTAAACCTCTGTCTTGAGTGGCTCTTGGACGTTGTACTGAGTGAATATTAGTAAAAATAAAAGAGAAAGAGAGATAGAACATAGTTTGGGAGTAAAGAAGAATGAAGCAATGTCTACATTGCTTACCTCCCTTTGAATTTAAGTAATTTTGACAGTCTAATGCAGTTATTCTCAACCTGGTCCAGGTGGACCACCGGTGGTCCACATAGCATTTTTAGTCGTCCACAGAGAATTCGTAGCCATAAAAAAAAATGTGTAACTATTTCACAAAAGTGTATCTAAATTATTTATACTTTGAAGAATTAAAAAATATAATATATTGTTTACTTACACACATATCTATTATATTTGAAAATTTCGAAATTACGTCGGTATTATGCAATGCTATATTTTATTTTTATTATATATATAAATAAATGTTATACTATATATAAAAAAATGTTATTCATATAAAAAATTATTTCTATGTAAATAGATAACTACACAATAATGTTTGATAATAAATTTGACACCATCAAAATTGATTATATCTTGTGTCATAAACACCAAGATCAAAGTAGTCACTAGCTGAATGGACTTAGATAAATGACATCATCAAAATTGATTTTGATATCCTGTGTTTTACCTTGTTTATTAACATAATTTTTAAAGTGTAAATAGACTACTTTGTCTTTTCCTTGTGTATTTTAGTGCGAAAATTGAAAAGCCTAAAAGTAAAAAGGATATTACTGAAACAGAGAATCGCATAAGCCCGATAAAAGACTCCGAGTTGGTTGTATGTGGTGCTGTGAAAGCCAGGAGTTACGTCCCCTTCCACAATGGGCTGTTGAAAGAAGAACTTCGACTTAAAGAGTAGACGTTGATCAGATAAGGACTTAGTTACAACCTTTGGTACAGATTCGTTTATGACGTACGAACAGCTCAATGAACGACATCTGCGGTACGGCGAAGTTGTGGATAACTACCTGGCTGAGTTGAAGAAACTCGCGTTCTTGTTGGGCGGGATGAGTGACCGTATGCCTACTTGCGCATTTGAGCACGGGTTGCCAGGCAATGTAAAGCACTCTCAACGGGCGGACGTGCGAAAATCAGACAAGACGAACACATTTGTATCTTTCATATGCAAACAGTCAGCGCCACCTACTCTAAGTAGAAGGTCTTCTCTCAGCAGAGTGTACCTGTGAACACCAGCAATTAAGAGGTGGTTCCACGCTCCTCAAAACCTCCTGATCAGATGCCTTGCTGCCGGATGTATTTTATAGTCATACCCAGGACGAGGATGTATTTTACAGTCATACCCAGGACGAGGATGTTGTTTATCGTCATACCCAGGACGCCTCATTGAGTGGGGATCTTACCCCTCTACAGTGGTGCAGTCGGCGTATTCTAAAGCTCCAGCCGGCAAGGCGGGTGACCGGAATAAGATTCCGTTGTACGCCATATAAATAGATATGAACAGACTTAGATGAAAAATTCATATTTTACAAGCACTAAAATGACCACGGGGGATATTGAAATGCGAAAGACTTTTAAATAATTTCTTCAGCATATTTTTTTCTCGTATGAAATTTTATCCTGGCGTGAAAAATGTTGAACTTCTTTTATTGAAGCAGAGAAGTTACATTTTAGTGCACGTGAAAATGTTTCGTGCACACACACACACATATATATATGTGTGTGTGTAATTAGACATTTTGTTTTTATTGTGCATACATGTAGAGAAATGGATTGAACGCGCGACTGGGTCTACATATGTGACTCTGCTTAGTGTTTGAATGCTCATGGCACAGCGAGAAAATATATGTGCGTTTGTGTTCATGTGTGGCTGGGTGAGAAAAAAGTCTCTCGACATGTACACGCGAATTCACGTCTGCTCGCATCAGCAATAATGCTAAAAAATCTGCAATCTAAGTTATCTGTAATAAGACCACATACATACATACATACATACATACATATATATATAAAACCATATAGAGAGGTGTGTGTATATATATATATATATATATATATATATATATATGTATATATATATATATATATATATATATATAACCATATAGAGAGGTGTGTGTGTATATATATATATATATATATATATATATAATGAATATATATATATATATATATAACCATATAGAGGTGTGTGTGTGTATATATATATATATATATATGTGTGTGTGTGTGTGAATACATCTGTATGTGTATGTTGGGTGAGTAGTCATAAAAGTTGAACGCATTAAAAAAAAAGACAATTACTTTTGCTTTGAACTTTATTGACCAACTAATTCATTCATATTCATTTATCGTTTACTTTGATTACGCTCCTCCAACCATTCAATTATTTTTCTCCCAGGACCATTTTTATCTTTCTAAGCAAACAAATACCTTTGCTGTCCTTTACAATTTTTCAGTGAATTTCTTGTTTTTTTTTTTTTTTTTTTTTTTTTTTTTTTTTTGTTTTTTTTGGTGTTGTTGTTTTAAAGATTTCTGTGTAGACGGGAATCAATTAGAATTCAATTATCTGGCAAATACTATTTCCATGGCAGTTATTTTAATATACTCTCCTTGACCGAATGAATATCGTTTTACCCTTGAAATAGAAAGATATAACCGTAAATTCGGTTCTAAGAGTTTATTTTCTCGACCGTGGAACTCTCTTGCTTTCCTGTTATCTACGATCTTCAAAATCTTTAATGCAAGATCGATGGTCATCTCCTGTCTTCCTGAAAGCTGTTCTTTTATCGACCTTTCAACCCATTAACGTTTTCTCGTTTTCTTTCACTCTTGCCTAAACCGGTCGTCTTCGACGAGTTTCACATTCAATCAATTTAAAGACAAATAGAACCTTCCTTCAGTGTGAATCTCTTCCCAGCCGAGCAGTTAACGTACGCTAAATAAGACGTTGTTTTTCCTACAAAGGAGGTGCAAATTCTAATACATTTTCTTTAATAATTTATTATTATTATTATTATTATTTTTTAAAAATATTTTTTTTTAATTTTTCTTGAGTCTGCAGACCGGTAGACCAAATAAATATTGTTTAAAATGAAACGGAATATTGAAATACAGGTATTCACGAAAAACAACGTCTGAAGTAATATATATATAAACGCACATTTCATTGAATACGACAGACAAGGTACTTTTATTTAGTTTTTTATATTTTCAACTAAATAAAACACCTTGTCTGTCGTATTCGATGAAATGTGCATGAAAGAAAGATTGCTGCCTAAATACACAAATGTGTTTATATATATATATATATATATATATATATACGAATGTAATGAGAACGAAAATAATATAAATTCTAATGTTCACAGCATTAATTCAAAAGAGAGCTCGATACCAAGAGTAGAGCAATAATTATTTATTATTTTTACATACGGAAGTTTTTTTTTGTCCATATGTAAAAATTATATAATATATATATATATCGGTGCTCCCGCTATTTATCTAGAGCTCCCTGAAATAATCCAAAGAAGAATCAGCAATATTATCGGTCCTGATCTGGCGGCTCGGCTTCAGTCACTTTCCCACTACCGTAAGGTTGCCTCTCTGTGTCTTTTCTATAAATACTTTTTCATAGTAATTGTTCGAATGAGCTCTTCGCTAGGGTAGAATGAATTTTATATATATATATATATATATATATATATATGGGGACTAGTTAGGACTTCATAGAGATTCTGGGGTATTATGGTGGAGTGAAGTAAGAATGGTAAGTAAGAATGCGTTGTCTTGGTGTAAGGAATATCGTGGTATGTTTGCGTCAGTATTTCTCGCTAGCTAAATTTAACGTTAAAGACAGAAGAAAACCGTCCTTTTCCCAATTTCCCATTTTGGTCTTGTGCCATATTTTGTATTTGTAATAATGCTCTTCGCTAGAGTACCTAGACTTTATGAATTTTAGTACAGTACTGGACTGGCGTCGAGATCTCATTAATTTACAGTTGAATTGGCGAGATGTATCCGTAAGTTCTATGCACTTCTCGCTTGTGAAACTCCCTTCCGGTTCCATGCTTTTCAGCCAAAATTGATTTTCAAAACTTTAAATGCAATGTCAATCGCTATCTGCTGTTCTCCTGATTACTATTCTTTTGTTTTTGCTCCTTGAATGTTATAGGATATTCTTTACTTAACTCGATTTAAAAAATATGTTTGTGTGTATGTGTGTGTGTGAATATGTGTGAAATGATAACTTATATTAGTAGATGCGTTTCGTCTTTTGAGAAACTTTATCAAGGCAAATGAAAGGATTTTATTTTGTAACATGTATTTATAGACAGGAGCAAAAACTTTGTTAGTTATTAAAATTTATAAACTTAAGAAACAATCATAAGTATTCATCATATTTTGAGTGTTTCTGAAATTTAAAAATGTTAACTACACCAGACCAATAACAATAAATATATATATATATATATATATATGTTAAATATAACAAACAATGAATGTCTTTTATGTCTGATCAGGAGTCGTTCTAATGTTCGTATGTTTGCTTTAATTTCGGGTGAAAATAAAGACAAAAATTGTCCATCATTTGGATGTTTTTATTAAGTTATTCCTTGATCTAAGCTTTCGGCTCACATGAGCCATCTTCAGAGTGGTTATACGGACATTTAAACAAAGCTATCCACCATCAAAGATGATGTTCTGTTATGTTGACATAGAAGATTGATATGCGACTATAACGGTCGTGGAATAGCAGACGCAGGTCGTAAGTTCAACATGCGGTTCTATGACGTCATACCACGCGAGAGGCTGAAATATTAACAACAGAAGCATATGTCTAGATGCATCTAGACATTAAATACATCTAGAGAATACATTTAATTATATATAACTTCATTATATATATCGCACATTGGGTGCTGGCGTTAATAGAATAGTGCTCGATGTACAATAACAGAGCTATGAATTATATATAGGATTGGTGTATACGGAATAAATTCCAATAACCAACAATTACTATTGTTAAAAGAGTGCTCAATACAGAGTAGAGCGAATATAATTATTTATTTAAAAATTATAACATAAATATGTTATAAAATCACTACAAAAATAGCCATTTTGTTTCAAATAATTTGAACCATTTAAAACCTTTATTCTACAATCTACATTCAGCATAATCACTTGATAAGACACCAGAAGTGTTGAAACAAAATGGCTATTTTTGTAGTGATTTTATAACATATTTATGTTATAATTTTTAAATAAATAATATATATATATATATATATATATATATATATATATATATATATATATATATATACACACAACCCATTATAATCAAGTATGGTAATATGGATTTATATGTGTGTATAGATATGCAAGACATATTATTAATGATGAGTTCTAAGAGTATTATTAGTTGTTGTGTATTATATTAATATTCGTAAAGTCTATAATCTATTTATATATAATTTTACCTATTTAAGTATAAGGCTTGGTTCCAAACACATTAGATATATAGTCCTGAATTATTATTATATTTACACCATGAGTACTAGGTTACTTTAATTGTTATACCTATGGTATTTTATGCGACAAAATAGTTATTCCCCTTGATACTTAACTTGTTTACTTATTTCAAATTTAAATTATTTTTTTTAATGTTTCGTCTTTCGAGCTCATGAATTTATCAATGAAATAAATTATAAATAATTCTATTTTAGGCCAAAATAATTAAATAAACAAGTCTTAACACAATTTTAAATTAACACCACGAGAACGTGAACTGTATAACGGTCAGAATATACTCGACGCCTGAAGATTGCAAAACTGCATGAAACTCCGAGTCGTGCTACAGACAAAATGTCGATTGTGTGTATATATATATATATATATATATATATATATATATATTAGCATGTGAAACTGCGTTATTCTGAAAACTAAAGTGGATGCCACTTGTAATAATGACCTACCCACAATGCAATACAATACCCACAATGCATCAGTGACCTGTGTGTATATATATATATATATATATATATATATATATATATAAAGTCAAGCAAAAACACAACGCATATGGCCTGACGAATGTGTTTAGCATAAAATACTGTATCCTCTGGGTGTTGACTTCAATGTCCACTTTTATATTTGCATACGCTCTCTCTGATATTGAGCACTTTAACCCACTAATATAGGGAGTTTCGTACAGAACCCACTTTTCATCACTGGTAAGCACTCAATTGAATAAGGATGCGGTACGGTGGCGAGAAAGCAGCGATATGCAGACTGCCACTCGTTGTCCCTTGTGGACCTCCAACAGCGTTTGAGGATCCCACTTGCTCAGTTTGTAGGTCTTACCTAGGCGGTGCAGGTGAAGTCTAACTGTTTCATCGGAAACGTTGAACAGTCTTGCAAGTTCACCACACTTTAGACTACTGTCCTCTTCAATGGCCACCTTCAGGACTCCGTCATTCAAGACCTGTGGAAAGACAAATTTCCCGACTTGAATTTTCGAAACCAACGCCTTGCAGTACGTTCATCCACAGTACTATCCCCAAACGCATGACATATGCGGCGACTTGATGCAGCTGCTGATAAGCCCACATTGAAGTCGTAAAGCAAACAGTCCCGAACGAGATCTCTAGACACTTCCATCCTTCTCACAGCTATCCGGCTTATAACTGATGGCTGGGCACGGTGTGCATGTTTTTTATAACGTCTGATGTTCCTATTTCCGGCTGTCCGAATTTGAAAACAATTGCTACACGCATTTCGTATATATTTCAACTTCATTCAATGACTAATCAATAAACGGACAGAACCTTTTTGGTTACCTTGTAATTCCTGTTAAACGCGCCTGCTCAGGTACATTTGCGTTTTTTGATTGACTTGTTTTCTACGGCATATCAATCTTTTACCGGTTATTTAAAGCCAGAAAATATTTTTAAATTGTAAGAATTTTTAAGATAATACTGGTTTCGTGATACAAGGCTTACTAATTAATCCATAGCTGGAGGAGAGAAGAGGTGAATTATACCTTTCCCAAGAATATTTGCGTATAAGTGAATATAACGAACTCCGTTCTCCAATTAACAATTCCGTGCTAGTATCCATTACACCACCCGCACATCCAAGTGGTCACTCATCTAGTTACTGATCCGGCTCAACGTTGCTTAACTTCGGTGACCGTAAGAGGACCGGTGTTTTAACGTGATCTGGCTGTAAGCTTCGTGTTTCTTCAACAGCCATAGAACCAAAGTGTAGTTAATACTGCAACTTTGTTGAACTAGCTCTAGTTTCAGTTTCTGAGAAAAGGGCACATAATCTGGCCAAAGCACTTAACCCCTCGATGGTGCTGGCTTAACTATCGACGGCTTCCGCGTAGAAGATACCCAATTTAACTCATAAGGTTTGAATCAATCTGTGATATGTATGGTTTCTTTAAGACATTTCCTAACGATTCCTTGCATTGGGATTGTCTCCCCAAGTCATTAAGTCATTGTCTTCATAATTCAGGCATGGTAAGATTCAAAGACAACTCTCCTAGACAAAACCTTAACATACTAACCAGTCGGCCACGTGCCAACATAGCATTTTTATTATAAAGCTATTAACACACATATAAACACTTGTGCAATGAGATACTGTTTGTGCACTGTATTTGAGAAGAATCGTTCACATTCCAAATTTTTCCAACAATTATTTAATTTAAAGAGCGCCGTAGAATAGATCGGACGATGCGTTGTGTTAGCAAGAGTTCAAAGACAGAAAGCAAATACTACATTATTAAAAAAAAAAAAAAGACGAAAGAAAAACGTTGGCGTATATCGTATCTATTCCGACAAATGGAATTCATTCTGTGTAAATCCATTTGTTTGGGCGTTAAACTTAAATATCACATATCTTTGTTTATATTTCCACATTATTTTCCCTTCTCAGCAGCTGTGCGAATAAAAATGGTGTCGAAGTTATTTCACAAAGTAAACCAAGAATCCACTTTTTTGTCTATAAAGAGAGCTCGTGGAGTACGTCAAGGGTATTTTTACAACTATTTTGTCTTCAATTTTGATATAAGCAGATTGTAGGAAATCATTTATTTATTGCGTTCTTATCAATCTCTCGGTTGACAGATAGAGCTATTGCAGATGTTGTACGATCGTATTTACTTATCATGGATTGCGAAGATTGTTCTGCGCCAATCGATTTAATCCATGAAATCAGTATCATAAGAGTTGCCAGGTCAGGATCGATGATATGACAGATTCTTCTTTAGATAGATAGATAGATAGATATGAAATAGAGATGAGATAGATATGTAATATGTAGACACAGATATATAGATATGATAGGATATAGAGATGATGTTAGATAGATACGTGACAGAGATGAAGTTAGATAGATAGATACGAGATAGGCATGAAGTTAGATATGGGATAGAGATCAGGTTAGATATGAGATAGAGATGAGGCTATATAGATAGAGTTGAGATGAGATGACATAGGTAAATAGACAGATATAGAATGAGATGACTTGGACTGATATATAGACTTGGATATGAGATTACTGCACATATCTATGTGCAGTTAGAAAGAAAGAAAAAAAAAGAAAGTAGACTGATATCCGTAAATCTATTGGAATTGAAAGTCTTTCTGCAATTTCGAGTTTATCGTTATGCCAGGTAGGTGATCTTAAATTTTATTCCAATATATATTTCCTCACTGGTAACAAAAATGTACAACGCTAAGATATAACGCAATCTTCTGGTACTAATTGAAAACTGACCATTGCATAATTTAAATTTTGATATATACTGGACTATAGTAATAGTATAGCAATTTTCAATCATCACCTGAAGAGTGTATAGTGTACGAAACTCGGTTGGGCTACCAAAAAAAAAATGTACATTTATTATTAATATATAATTCATAGCTCTGTCATTCTACATCGAGCACTATTTTATTAACGCCAGCACCCAATGTGCGATATTATATATAATGAAGTTATATGTAATTAAATGTATTTAATGTCTAGATGCATCTAGACATATGCTTCTGTTGTTAATATTTCGGCCTCTCGCGTGGTATGACGTCATAGAACCGCATGTTGAACTTACGACTTGCGTCTGCTATTCCACGACCGTTATAGTCGCATATCAATCTTCTATGTCAACATAACAGAATATCATCTTTGATGGTGGATAGCTTTGTTTAAATGTCCGTATAACCACTCTGAAGATGGCTCATGTGAGCCGAAAGCTTAGATCAAGGAATAACTTAATAAAAAAATATCCAAATGATTGACAATTTTTGTCTTTATTTTCACCCGAAATTAAAGCAAACATACGAACATTAGAACGGCTCATGATCAGGCATAATAAACATTCATTGTCTGTTATATTTAACAAATATATATATATATATATAAAACTGACTGTGTGTGTGTTCGCGAACTACTCGAGAGCCATAAGGTATATTTCCACCAAATTTGGAACATATATTCTACTCGATACTGGGTGTGTTTGGGCAAAATAATTAGTCATTTTTCAAAAATCAATAATCGATAAATATAATGTTTAAATGGGAATTCACATTAGTTTGGTTGTTTTTAAACTTTCAGCCATGAAGTCTAAATGCTAAGGCCGACTTTAATGAAACTTTATAAGTGTATGCAATTTACTGTCACACTTATTATACGCTATATTGATTTTCGTTTATCTCGACACTGTGACCCCCAGGGTGCCCCAAAGGGACAAAAAAAAATTCAAATTGCTTCGATTTTTATGAAATTTTGCATGTTTGTTACACTCTTACAATGAGATAGAAATCGGTTGTCAGATTTTTACAAATGCATGAGGGGGCCCCCAGGATGACCCTATAAAGCCCTTGATGCCGCAATTGCCTTTCAAGTGTATTTTGTAGCAGTATTCCCCAATTTCAACGAAAATTTTAGTACATATTGAGAGTATATCGAGTAACTGAAGTAGTCACTTAGAATTCACTGAAAATCAACACTGGGACCCCCATGAGTTAGGGGACCAACAGGGAACCCAGAAATATTCAATTAAGTCTACAGCCTTGGCCATAAAGTCGATTAAATAGAAAACTTAAAAAAGATTTGCTTTATTATTTCAATTACTATTAGTCTTAAACCTGTCCTTTGGCTTAAAATTTGGGACCCCTAGGGTGAACCAAAGGGACCCCTAAATTTTTAAATTGCTTCGATTTCGACGGAATTTTACATGTATGTTACAATCTTAAAATGAATCAAAAACGATTATCAGATTTTGAAAACTACATAAGGGGCCCCCAAGATGACCCATGAACACCTTGCTGCCCCATTAGTCTTTCAATTGTAGTGGTTCGCAGCATTCCGATGAAAATTTGCACATAATTTCTGTTTAGATCAATCAACTCAAAATCAAAACTGACACCCCATGCGTCATAAATACATTATGAAAAATATCAGTTTTTCCCATGGATTTCCTGTTTTGGTACTGAAATAGTTTAGTTTGCATTAACTTGACGGCAAAAATTATATTATTATGAATGTCTATTATTTCTGATCAGGAGCCGTTCTAATGTTTGTATGTTTGCTTTAATTTCGGGTGAAAATAAAAACAAAAATAATTATATATATATATATAAATATTTTTATATTTGTTCTTATATCTATGAGTAAATATTTTTTTGCGTTTCCAATGTAATTCAAAAGTAGAGACTGACAGCTGTCAGAAAAGTTCGATAATGTGTTAGCCTGAATTGATAATCGATCTCAATGATGTAACTGCTCAGCCTTTACTTCTACGCCCTCACTATTAATTATGAACCATTATATTTAAATATCTACTTCCCATACATACAAATATGAAATAAGCATAAAGAAACACACCTCGACAACTGAATAATTCTCCCAACACACAAACATACACACGTTAAGGGGGTGAGGATTTGGGGGTAGAGTTCACACATTTTATATCATTTAAATATTGCCAGTGTTTGCTTCTCAGTCGTTTTATGGAACAGTATCAATTTGCATAATTTTCCCAGACGACTTTTTTTCTATTAAATAATGTCCCTGAAATCGACACCCGGCCAAGTCTCATTAATAGAAAGCTGCGAAAATTATTGCTGACGCTAACACATACCTTGATTACTCGTTTATACAAGACACAGTCTTCTGCTTGGTGGAAGCTGCCCTTGCATGTATACCGATGAATAATCAGTCTAGACATCTTTACGGCGCATACCAGAATCAGGCGCATAATTAATATGAGAAATATATATAGTTTATGCAAAACTAGGTAATCCGTATGGGTAGACCCAAGGAGGATGATATCCAGAGAGCTCAATGTAAATTAAGAGCAAATATGTTTGAATAAAAACAGATCACTTTAAGGTTCCATGTAATAAGTTATTTCACCACAACCCTTTTAAAGGGCTCTGGATCATCAGACTTTTTATTTTGAATCGGATGGTTGTATTCGGAGGGATTTATTTTGTAAATATTTTTAGATTTATCAGCTCTGATCCATAGTTTTTTTGAGTTTTTGATATTTGTAATGTCTTTTTTAAGTTTGGATTGGAATGGGTTGTATTTCTTCTGGAAGGATATTTTCGTGATTAACTCAATTAAATCTTCTTCAAAAGATTCCAATAATTTATTGTTTGGAGTCGAAAAGTCAGTACTATTGCTATGATAATATGATAACGGAGCTAAAGTACCCAGAGTCACACATGCACTGTAAGTTAATAAAGTTATCGCTCGCTTCCGTTGCTTATAGCGGTACTTGGTAGGAATGTGTGTAGAGTGCGGTCGTCTCGCCACACCACATAAGTTCCATCAGTGGTCGTGGTTTGTGCAGCGGTTTTTGGCTAAGATTAACATTCCCCAGGTATGACAACCCCTATATTCCCCAGATCTCGCCCCTCCTGACTTTTCCTCTTTCCAAAAATTAAATCCCACTTGAATGGAAAAAGATTTGAAGACGCCGAAGAAATACAAGAGAATGTGACGAGGCAAACAATCGGTATCCCCCAAAAGGAGTTCCAGGAATGCTTCAGTCAATGTAAACGATGCGAGATAAAGTGTGTGGCTTCAAAAGAGAACTACTTCGAAGGAGATTAAATGCTGAATTGATATGGTTGTTAGTTTTCTATACTTTCGATACTTTTTGATTAGACCTCATATATATATATATATATATATATATATATCGTCCTGCA